TACTGACTGAGTCTGAACCAGTGGTGAAGAGACCAGGAGAATCACACAAACTGACATGTACAGCCTCTGGCTTCACATTCAGTAGCTACTGGATGAGCTGGGTCAGACAGGCTCCTGGGAAGGGACTGGAGTGGATCTCTTGGATCAGCACTGATGGTGGTAGCACTGGCTACTCCCAGTCTGTTCAGGGCCGATTCACCATCTCCAGAGACAACGGCAAGAACCAGCTGTATTTACAGATGAACAGCCTGAAAGCTGAAGACACGGCTGTGTACTACTGTGCCAGAGACACACAGTGATGGGGGCTGTGGGGAAGCCGTACAAATACTACTTCCTCACAGAGAATAAGGATGTCACATTATTATTTAACCCGTTAATTTTTTGACATTCAGATGAGGTTGTAAAAAACTAAATTATTAGATATATAAATTTAAAAATGCCAATATTTCAATTTCGTAAAGACAGAGACTTTCTCGTATCTCCACATTTAAGAGTAACAACACTTAAAAACTGTAACCTCTGCAGCCAAATGACCACAGAGGGTGATACTTTACCCGCTGTGGGGATGATGAGGATGGGCACTGTGACTGTGTCCCAAACCATCAGGTCTAATCTCAGGGTCTGTATAATGACTGTCCTGAGCTTTGCTCCAGGCTCAGCCATGTTTGCTTTTGTCCTGGACAGGATGTACAGCTGCTATGAACCTCCCTGGGATCTGTCAGTTATATTTCCAGGTCCTGTTATAATTTAGAGCTGTATCTCATGGCCCATTGTCCACTGGAGTCCCCTTTCCTGGCCTGGTATCCTGTGATAATTAGCCCTCCTCACTTGAGTCCTGCCTCACAGAACTTGTTCCACAGCCGTTTGACCCCTCAGAAGACCAAAGCCTGGTTGGCTGCCTGTTTCCCACAGTGTGGCTTTTGCCAAAGGACTAAGGGACTGTCATTACTGTGCTCGACAGTGACATTGACAGGAGATACTGCAGGGCTTTACAGAACCTTCAGCTCTGAGGATCCCTCAGGATATCGGAAGCAGTGTGTGGCTCTGTGGGTTAGGATTGTACTCATGATCAGAAGTAGAGATGCACCGATTGACCGGCTAGTAATCGGAATCGGCCGATTTTTTGTATGATCGACCCAGATCGGTGACCGGCCGGTCAGTCTCACGTCTGCCGATCCTTTTATTGCCAGCAGCAGCGCAGGCAATTACGTCACAACTACGCGCACACTCACAGTCTGGTGATAACATGTCGTTGGTGTGGAACTTCTTTTCTGTGAGTGGAGATGACACAATGATCGCAGTTTGTAACGTTTGTAAAGCAAAAATACATCGTGGGGGAACAAGCTCAAAAACGTTCGGAACAACAAACCTAATAAGACACTTAAAACGCTATCATTTAGCTGAATATGCCCAGTTAGAAAAGGGGAAAGTGGCTAAAGCTAGCACGCCGGAATTTATTTTATACTTTACAACACACTTTATNTAGAAAAGGGGAAAGTGGCTAAAGCTAGCACGCCGGAATTTATTTTATACTTTACAACACACTTTATTTTATATTTTTATTTTGTTGTGAGAAGATCCTGTAATGTTTAATAATTTATTTTATTATAAAATAAATTTAAATGAATGTCATATGCTTTCATTACAGTTCTATAAAAAAATCGGAATCGGCAAAAATCGGAGTCGGCAGGTCACACTTACTGTAAAATCAGAAATCGGAATCGGCCAAGAAATTTGCAATCGGTGCATCTCTAATCAGAAGGTCACTGGTTTAAATCATGTGATCAGCAGAGTGATGTCACTGAGGGCCCCTGAGCAAGACCCTAACCCCTCCGGTGTCCAGCAATTGTCTGATCCTGCTTTATGAAAAATGTCTTTTGCTTTGGATAAAAGCAGCTGCTAAATAAACCAAGTACAAGTACATCTGTGTCAATACTTTATTAAAAATACATTCCATTGAGGGCTTTTTGAAGAATGCAGTTTATTGACATTTTCAAGTAAAGGAACCAAAAAAGATGAATTGTCCAGTTGAACAGTGTTATCAAAATAAAAAGCAATCAATGCAATTCCTGTCGGATCCAATAGATGTCCTCAGAGTGACAATAAATGCAGGCAGCAGAGTGACACAAATATCATAGTGATACCCATTTTAGACAGACTGTAGCAACTATGTAACTTTTTTCTCGTGAATCATTCCCTGACTTATGTAATATGACTGTTAAAGTTTAAAATATGAACAGTTTCATACTTATATTTCATTCTATTTGTTGAAAACAGTAACTGATTTAGTAAAAGAATATAAGAAAATAACACTGTGCAACACACAACATAAAGTAAATTTAAAAAATCTATTCCTTATTGATGAATTTTAAAATGTTTTTAAGATTAGACACTTTTCAGTAGAATTTTGATTTATACAAAAAGTGTTGTTATTGTTTGTGGACTGCATGGGACATGAACTATTTGTTGACTTAGGCTTTACATATCAAATTAATCTGATTGTCATGTGACCACACCCACTATGCCTGCCAGAGGAGGATCCTGTGCAACCCTGCCATAGCTTTTAAAGGAGCCAGTGTCAGTGTGTGACAGAGAGCAGCAGTCACTGGGACTCAGTGTGTACTTTACCTC